CCCATGGCGGACCCTTCCTCTGCCCCCTGCACCCATCCTGGCCGTGCAGCGCGGGGTGGGTCACAGCATCCTCCCAGCTGGCCACAGCATCCCTCAAGCCGGCTGCACAAGCAGCTCGCTGCAGACACCCAAAAACCACCCGAGCAATGCTCCGGGCACTGGCACTCCCTTGGCACGTCATTTGTGAGTTTGCCACTCATGCCAAGGTTACCACTTCCTCTGCCCCCTGCACCCATCCTGGCCGTGCAGCGCGGGGTGGGTCACAGCATCCTCCCAGCTGGCCACAGCATCCCTCAAGCCGGCTGCACAAGCAGCTCGCTGCAGACACCCAAAAACCACCCGAGCAATGCTCCGGGCACTGGCACTCCCTTGGCACGTCATTTGTGAGTTTGCCACTCATGCCAAGGTTACCAAGAGCCCACGGACAGCCCTGTGGCAGCCTCACTGGTGTTTCTGAGCTTGGAATTCCGAGTATTTACTGCCAGGCTGCGGCAGCACGGGGTTAACCAAGGGGCTCCCGTTATTTACACCTCCCGGCAGCGACCGAGCAGCCGCTCGCATTTAATTGTGGGATGGTTTATTCCCCGCCATCCTCTGCCGAGAATGCCACAAAGGGAGGACAGGATCGTCCTCGCTCGCAGGCCTTTCCCTTCCTCTGCCTGGGAATTTACCTAATTATAGTTAATACTCCAGCAATGCCCACTGCCAGCCCTTTCCCTCCCTGCTTTTCGACATCGGACCCCAGGAGCGGGCTGAACCAGAGCAGGACCCTGCCCCTGCGGGGAGCTGCGCTCTGGTCCCTCCCCACGGCAGAGGCACAGGCAATATGATCACTGGTGGTTTGGATACACACAATAATTACAAAAAATCAGATTAAAATTCACCCAGCATGACCCTTTCTGAGAATGAAGATTTAGATGATGAAGCTTTCGACCTGCACCCCACTCCCAGTACCTTCTCGGTGCAGAAATCCACGCACTTGTCCACCGACATGTTCAGCATCAGCTGGCTGACGGGCAGGGCGATGGAGACGTTGTCCGGCCGGCGGAAGCAGCCCCGAAAGATCGCGCTGCCGTCTGCGAGGGAGAGAGGCCACACTGAGGGCGATGCCGGCCCGGCCACGAGGAGCGGGGGCTGCACCCCAAATACGACGCCGCTGTCACCCTGCATGCCCCAGGCTCGGGAGCTGGAGCCTCTGCCTGCACCCGGTGTCCCCGTCCCCCACCGCTCCTCTCCAGCCGCCCATTGGCACGGCGGCTGCTTTTTTTCGTGTCTCCTCCCCCCCCG